ACTGGACACACCTCTGGTAGAGTCAGGTCCAGATGTTGGTGTGGACATGTCTGTTAAATGTAAACATAGCCTCTTGAATACTCAACAGCATTGCTGTTGGTCATCAACGTATTGGGCCCATACAGCCATTACCCAACCTATAGTTAACTCCTATCCCACTAGTAGCCAGCATACATTTAGAATATAGGGGAACACTTTCTGAGTAAATATATATTTTTATTTAAATACCTGGTCAAAATATGCTGTATACATATAATATACCCCAGGTTATAGTAGCAGACTTAGTAACAACCAATAGGAATGTTAAAAGCAAAGGTTCTTAAATTATTTAGACAAGGACTCAAACAATGTGTATTGGATTAGCTTGGTGAACCATTCCTCGGTTCTAACATATTATTTTGTATAATGAATTCTACCAAACACACTCCATAGACTCTTCCCAGCATCACAAGATCTTCGTTGTACTAGATGAACTACAAAGAAAGGTAGGCTTACTACAGTAACTAATTTATTGCAGACCTTTACATAGGATTTGATGAATATTATGTGCATGATCACACTATTTGGAACTATTTTCTAAAATTTGCTTTTAAAGCTTGAATTAACAAGACAGATAAAACCGATAATACATAAATAATAAATTAGACAAAACACAGGAAATCAGGTACAGAGGTTGTCTAGAATGATTGGAAGATGTCCTACTAAAAGTAGTGTAAGTGTACTAAGTGGAAAAAGACAAATAGGCAATATAACAAAAATGGTATATCCACCACTACGGCACAAACCACATTTTCAGTTTATTAGCAACAATAAAGTAGATATACCAATAAAATAGGATTTGTTTGAATATGCAGGAACTACGGCCATTATACGACAAAAGAAAAGATTAATGGGACACTGCACGGTTCGAAACAAAAAAGTTTCGAAAGTTGAAAAGTTATTTCAAACTTGGCTGGGGAGGAATTTATTCCGGATCATATCGTTGTAATTAAAAATGGCATAAATGTTGCAGTCTAAATCAATTTAATTCATATTAGCATTTACACAGATTTCTGATAAAAAAAATCACATTAAAAATAGATATTTGGAAATATTCCTATTAAAATGCAGTAAGATACATCCATATCATTCACAATTTCAATCCGAGTCCTAAGAAAAGTCAAGATTTTTCCGTCATCTTTTATTAGTGATCCCATGAAAACGTTTAGTTCTAAAGGATCGATACAAAATAATAATTAGATTATAAAATAATTTTAAAAATAGATAAAATAGAAGCCTAATTTAATTCCTAGGAAAGCTAAATGAATTACAAAATAGTTACAAAAAGGCATTTATTTATGTGACAAATAGAGTATATTGCTGATGGTATTCAATTCAAACGCCTACAATCGTAAGCGTCAGGACTGGGCCATGGTGCAACGGAAGAAGGTTGACTTTTAGATCAGGTGGATGGCCGAGTGCGTGTGTGGAAGAGATGGCAGCAGAATGCCCTATGGGAAGAAGGCAGTTATTAACACGCTGCCCAGTACCCAGTGACATCAATCCTGTGCTAATTTACTGTTCAGTAACCCCCAACGTTTGATAAGTAGAAGCTGCATGCAGTGAGTTCCAGAATGTTTGGTCATATCTCAGTTGTGCAATATATCTTAAAGTGAATGCAGAAGAGGGAGCAGGAAGGAGGTCTGGGCAAGACTGTGTACCCATGGCCCTGGGCAAGACTGTGTACCCTACTGTAACGGATCCCCTACACTCCAACTGAGTATATCCGTTATAAGTCTCCCAAATCCCAAGTGATGCAGTGATTATAGTAGTGAACCTGGACCTGAGAGGAAACTAGTTACAAGCAAACATCTAACATACTCCTCCCCTGTGCCTGAGAGATAATTACCTGAGCACACAAACATATAATTGAATTATCTCTCAGTACAGAAACAGGCAATATAACAAACCCCCCAAAATACCCCAAAACACATACAAACCCCACAAACATTTCATCCCCTGATAGCCCCAATCTGAGTGACCAACATATCCAAAAATCACCCAGATCGTTTCAGGGGTTTGGCATTTCCATGGAAGTCATAATTTTGACTGACTGTGTACATTTTCCTATGCCCAGAACAGTTCCATGAAATCAGCGCTAGCAGTCGGTAAACTTTGGTAACATAAAAACGAAGTTTAAACCGATTTCCGAACTAAGGAAGAGAATGGTTCCTGGGAAGGCAAAATAGGGGTTTTGTCACATAGTTCCCCGCCCAGTTCCATGGGGTGGCATACCCGCCTAGACCCCAACAGGTTGGCTTGGGGATGTCCGGTCAGGTTGGTTATTTTTCTAGATCCGGAAAGTGCCGAACCAGGGACACCCAGAGCAAGCCACTAATGGTGGTTGGGGAGATTTAACTTCCAAACAGGGTCTTTGTTTATGGCCCATAGGACAGGAGGCTAACGTCCACATTTCTCCAGGAGCCCCTGGTGAACGTCCAGACAGAGGGGTGTTCGTCACACTGACTATGTGCTTGAGCTTTCTTGGCATTGAACTTGACTCAGTGGCACGGGAATGTCGGCTCCCGGAGGATAAGGTGGAGGATCTGCGCGCTCAGGTGCATTGGCTTTGGGCATGAGGAAGATCAAGTTGCACCAGCTGCAGGCACTGTTGGGTAAGTTTAACTTTGCCTGTTGCATCCTGCCCATGGGTAGGGTGTTTAATCGACACCTGGCTGCGGCTACGTCAGGCATCTCCAGGCCCTGCCATTTTGTGAATTTGACGCGCCCCTTAAAGGAGGATTTGGCGGTGTGGGATGTCTTTCTGATGTCTTTTAACAGTTGGTCCTATTGGCTAGGGGTGGAAGTATCCAATGCTGAGCTGCCCTTTTTCACTGACGTGGCGGGCTAAGTAGGTTTTGGGGCTATATTGTACACCCACTTGTGTGTGGATACTTAATCGGAGGCCTGGCATGTATCGGGCCTCACTAAGAATTTGGCGTTTCTCGAATTGTTCCCTATAGAGGTGGCCTTGGAGCAGTGGGGGTCATTGCAATAATCTGGGAGTGGTACTAGCCATTAACAGCCTGCCGGCTTCCTCTGCCCCAGTGGTTCGGTTGCTGCGTCGACTTGTGCTGCGCTGTTTGACACTGAATATTGATTGCAGGGCGATTCATAATCCTGGGGTCAAAAATGTTACAGCTGTGGCAGGAGTTCCGGGCAGCCGCACCCGAGGCGGATACAGATGAGTTCCTCTGCCCGAAAGAACTGTAATCCCTTGGGCAGACCGTGTAGTGGCTTGCATTTGGGCATTGGTTTCGGAGGCTACTAGGTCCCGGTTTGATTTTAAGGTGGTGCTCTTTCGACTCGCCTTTACATTTGCCTTTTTTGGGGCACTTCGGATTGGGGAGTTGGTTAGCCCGTCTAAGCAGCTTCCAGGGGGTGTTTGGAACCACGATGTCTACTGAGAGGATGCATCGGTTAGATTTTTGATCCACCGATCTAAGAAGTATGTATTGGGGAATGAAACATGGGTCATGGTACAGGGTATTCCGGGGACGGCGGTCTGCCCGGTGACATGTTTTGACATGTCCTTTGCCCCTCCTGTGGGAGCCCCACTAGGTGCACCTGGATGCTCTGGGCATCCCGAGTTTGGAGTTTGGGGGGCATTAATTCCGCATCAGGGCGGCTATGGAGGCATCGCGCCTCTGGTTTTCTGAGCAAGCTATTCATAGAATTGAACACTGCGAATCAGGGTGGTTCAGCAATGGTTTGGGGTCCATGGTATGCGGTGGGTGCAGCTGGTTCCAGAGCTGGTTCCAGAACTGGTCCTCTTGTTCTGTCTCCTGGGAGTTCCTGATGTTCTGATCATTCTTCTTGGGGGCAACAATCTGGGCATGATCCCAGTTAGGACATTTTCGGATTTGATTCTGCAGGACTTGGCTAGTATTTATGTGCTGTTCCCTGACCTCTATCTAGTGTGGTCTGAACTCGTGTCCCGGAATTATTGGAGGTTTGCCAGGGATCAGAAGGCCATGGATCAGTGTTGAGTAAAGCTCAATATACAGGTCTCCAAGTTTGTGTTGGGAGTTTGGGGGCTTTACGCTGCGGCATGTACTTCAGGAGTGATGGGGTTCACCTCACCGACGTGGGGTTAGATTTGTTTAACTTGGAATTGCAAGAAGGGTTGGAACAGGCCATGATTTTCTGGAGGGGTTGCCCCGCTTATTGTAGGGGGTAAAACAGTGGGGTCTTGTGGCGGACGCTTGTCCAAGCCAATCGTGGATTGGACTGGTTCTTGCTTACAAGTCCCTACATAATGCTGCTCCAAACTACCTATCCTCTCTAGTACACATATATGTCCCATCTAGTCCCCTTATGCTCTGTCGAAGACCTACGTCTATCCTCTGTCCATACTCCCACCTCTGATGCTGGCCTTCAAATCTTCTACAGGGCTGCAACTTTTCTGTGGAACTCCCTTCCCTTCTCCATTACACTTTCACCCAGACACCATTTCTTCACAAAAATCATTGAAAACACCTTTTTTTTCAAGAATGCATATCAATAAAACCATGAACAGCTTTTCATCCCCCCCAATGACTCATCTCCTGCAACTGTCAAAAATAACCTACTAACCCTCAGTGAATACTATTCTAGCAACCTACTTTGTTACCCATACTTTTACTCTTTGTGTCACTATACCCCACTCCCTTTAGCATGTAAACTTAATGAGCCCCTCCTGTGGGAGCCTGTTGGGAGTTTGGGGGCTTTACGCTGCGGCATGTACTTCAATCCCTCTGTTACTGTGTCACTATAACCCACTCCCTCTAGCATGTAAACTCACTGAGCAGGGCCCTTACTTTGTCACTATACCCCACTCCCTATAGCATGTAAGCTCACTGAGCAGGCCCTCAATCCCTCTGTTACTGTGTCACTATACCCCACCCCCTCTAACATGTAAACTCACTGAGAAGGGCCCTCAATCCCTCTGTTACTGTCACTATACCCCACTCCCTCTAACATGTAAACTCACTGAGAAGGGCCCTCAATCCCTCTGTTACTGTGTCACTATACCCCACTCCCTCTAACATGTAAACTCACTGAGCAGGGCCCTCAATCCCTCTGTTACTGTGTCGCTATACCCCACTCCCTCTAACATGTAAACTCACTGAGCAGGCCCTCAATCCCTCTGTTACTGTGTCACTATACCCCACTCCCTCTAACATGTAAACTCACTGAGCAGGGCCCTCAATCCCTCTGTTACTGTCACTATACCCCACTCCCTCTAACATGTAAACTCACTGAGCAGGCCCTCAATCCCTCTGTTACTGTGTCATTATACCCCACTCCCTCTAACATGTAAACTCACTGAGCAGGGCCTCAATCCCTCTGTTACTGTGTCACTATACCCCACTCCCTCAAGCATGTAAACACACTGAGCAAGGCCTCAATCCCTCTGTTACTGTGTCACTGTACCCCACTCCCTCAAGCATGTAAACTCACTGAGCAGGGCCCTCAATCCCTCTGTTACTGTGTCACTATACCCCACTCCCTCTAACATGTAAACTCATTGAGCAGGCCCTCAATCCCTCTGTTACTGTGTTACTATATCCCACTCCCTCTAGCATGTAAACTCACTGAGCAGGGCCCTCAATCCCTCTGTTACTGTGTCACTATACCCCACTCCCTCTAACATGTAAACTCACTGAGCAGGGCCTCAATCCCTCTGTTACTGTGTCACTATACCCCACTCCCTCTAACATGTAAACTCACTGAGCAGGCCCTCAATCCCTCTGTTACTGTGTTACTATACCCCACTCCCTCTAACATGTAAACTCACTGAGCAGGGCCCTCAATCCCTCTGTTACTGTGTCACTATACCCCACTCCCTCTAACATGTAAACTTACTGAGCAGGGCCCTCAATCCCTCTGTTACTGTGTCACTATACCCCACTCCCTCTAACATGTAAACTCACTGAGCAGGCCCTCAATCCCTCTGTTACTGTGTCACTATACCCCCCTCCCTCTAACATGTAAACTCACTGAGCAGGGCCCTCAATCCCTCTGTTACTGTGTCACTATACCCCACTCCCTCTAACATGTAAACTCACTGAGCAGGCCCTCAACCCCTCTGTTACTGTCACTATACCCCACTCCCTCTAACATGTAAACTCACTGAGCAGTCCCTCAATCCCTCTGTTACTGTGTCACTATACCCCACTCCCTCTAACATGTAAACTCACTGAGCAGGGCCCTCAATCCCTCTGTTACTGTGTCACTATACCCCACTCCCTCTAACATGTAAACTCACTGAGCAGGGCCCTCAGTCCCTCTGTTACTGTGTCACTATATCCCACTCCCTTTAGCATGTAAGCTCACTGAGCAGGGCCCTCAATCCCGCTGGTACTGTGTCACTATCCCCCACTCCCTCTAACATGTAAACTCACTGAGCAGGACCTCAATCCCTCTGTTACTGTGTCACTATACCCCACTCCCTCTAGCATGTAAACTCACTGAGCAGGCCCTCAATCCCTCTGTTACTGTCACTATGCCCCACTCCCTCTAACATGTAAACTCACTGAGCAGGGCCCTCAATCCCTCTGTTACTGTCACTATACCCCACTCCCTCTAACATGTAAACTCACTGAGCAGGGCCCTCAATCCCTCTGTTACTGTGTCACTATACCCCACTCCCTCTAACATGTAAGCTCACTGAGCAGGGCCCTCAATCCCTCTGTTACTGTGTCACTATACCCCACTCCCTCTAGAATGTAAGCTCACTGAGCATGCCCTCAGTCCCTGTGTTCCTGTGCATCAAACTAGTCTGGTGACAATTACCTGTCTGTCTGTTAGTCCACCCATTGTACAGCACTATGAAATTTGATGGTGCTTTATAAATAAAATAATAATAATTAGTGACTATAGTCTATGTAATGCAGGTGAAGAGAAATTAGTTGAGTATATGTTGCTATGATATGCCTCTCAAGTGTCCTTTTTTAGAAGGGACAGTCACTATTTTGGGCCAAATCCCTCTGTCCCTCTTTCCCATTCTAATGTCTTTCTTTTCTAGGAGCTCCACATTGTTGATGTGTTTGAGTGTATAACAGAGCTTCACAACAATAATACTCCCAGTAATGTGTCTGAGTGTATAACAGAGCTCCACAGCAATAATACTCCCAGTCAGTGGTGTATCCTGGTTTTGTGCTGCCCTAGGCAGGACAAAACACAGACGCCCCCTACCCCCACGCCACCCCCACCCAACCCTTCCCCCTCGCCCCACCCTCTAAATACACACACACCGTCAGACACATACACAGTCAGACACAAACACACACACAGTCAGACACATACACAGTCAGACACAAACACACACACACACAGTCAGACACATACACAGTCAGACACAAACACAATCAGACACAAACACACACACACACACACAGTCAGACACATACACAGTCAGACACAAACACACACACAGTCAGACACAAACACACAGACACAAACACACACACACACAGTCAGACACAAACACACACAGTCAGACACAAACACAATCATACACAAACACACACACACAGTCAGACACAAACACACACACACAATCACTTTTTTTTTTTATTTAACCCCTCCCCAGCCTCCTTACCTTTGGGAATGCTGGGGGGGGGTCTCTTTCTCCCTGGTGGTCCAGTGGCTGCCGGCCGGGCTGGGCGTGCGGCGCTGGCTGCTGTGCAGGCGGCTGGCGAGTGAGCACTTCCTCTGAGCACTCTGCTCAGCTCCCTCGCGCGCCGCAGAGTGAGGCTGGGAGCCGGATTGATGACGTCATCTTCCGACTCCCAGCCTCACTCTGCGACGTGCGAGGGAGCTGAGCAGAGTGCTCAGAGGAAGTGCTCCCTCGCCAGCTGCCCGCACAGCAGCCAGCGCCGCCCGCCCAGCCCGGCATGTCTGTTAGCCGCTAGGCTAACAAGGCATTTGCCCTGGGCATTTGGGGGCGGCGTTTTTTGCCACCCCCTGAAAAATGCCGCCCAAGGCAAATGCCTTGTTTGTCTCGCGGCTAAAACGTCCCTGCTCCCAGTAATGTGTCTGAGTGTATAACAGAGCTCCACAGCAATAATACTCCCAGTAATGTGTCTGAGTGTATAACAGAGCTCCACAGCAATAATACTCCCAGTAATGTGTCTGAGTGTATAACAGAGCTCCACAGCAATAATACTCCCAGTAATGTGTCTGAGTGTATAACAGAGCTCCACAGCAATAATACTCCCAGTAATGTGTCTGAGTGTATAACAGAGCCCCACAGCAATAATACTCCCAGTAATGTGTCTTTAAACTGCAATAAATGTGATTCGAAATCAGTCTGTGTAAATAAGGTACATATGTCTTACTGTAAATTAAATTTTAGTTGCAAACATTGTTGATAAGTCACCTAAAATGTCTCAGAACAGCCCCGTCACTGGCCACACACCCCAACCTCACCCCTCTAAAATTAATTTGTCTCTCTCTTGCCCATTTGAAACCTTGGGACAAATGTAATGTGCTTACAAATACCAAGATTGTTTGATCTATTCAATGAACTTGAACAGGTTGAATGGTAAAATCGCCATTAATGGAGTTTGCATTAATGGTAGCATCATGGATTTCAGATCATTCAATGAAACAAGCTTTTCCATCTTCTATCGAACAGGAATGTATGATAAAACCAGGTATATAAAGTACAAACAAACTCCGCCAGAGGTTCTAGCAATTAATACAACATACAATGAGATATACAGTATCAGAACTGTGATCTTTGGCCATTTATATATAATTACATTTTATTGGTTCTCACAAAGTCAGATGTATAAATGGTTTATTAGGATTTCTTGTTTAAAGACTTTAAATAATGTTTATTTTGAGTGTAAAATATTCTCAAGCTCATCTGACCTTTTTATTGCTAAAACAAAGATGTGATTGGTAGTGACAGGGTTATTTAGAATAGAATATGGGGAACTGCTTATTCCACATTTTCACCATCTTCTAATATCTCACAACGTTGGCTTAAATATATTGCAAGGTCACTGTATTTGCTTTGAAAGGAGAAGTTGTCAAACTGAAACAGGAAGGGTCGGACCTCTGCTTACTTTCTAGAACTGAAATCTCGACGAGAGCAAAGAACTTGATCTATATTCACATATGGATCGCAATGTTATCATTCTATCAAAAAAGTAAATTTACACCGTCGATGGTATGACGAGCCGAAATCTTACTGAGGTTTATTCACTAAACAAGGAGCTTGCAAAATGTATAGAAATGTAACAGGTAACAATGTCAGATTGGAAATATGGAGATTTTTAAAACTTGGCTTCAATTTTGGAATAAAAGAAGATTTATAGAATAACACATATCATTGCATTAGCAGCAAACTATGGGAAGATTATTGTATCTGTAACGACACCCCCAGGCATAAAAGGGTTAAACCGCCGTTTAGTAGATCTTCCCTTCCAGAGACACAGGCACAGCTACTGCAGAACACCAATCCGCCGAACAGGAAACCAAATGAATGCTGTAAACAGCCGAATAGGAAAAACCATACGAATAGGTTTACACTCCTAGCAGTCGAACTGGAACAGCATACAGTAAATCCCCCCAAGAACGAGACAAAGCTCTGCAGCGAACAGACAGAGCTGTGGGTTTATTGTGCTTATGTACACATTCTTACACATTAGTACCACCCACAGGGTTTTGGAACACAACCAATAAACACATACAATACACTCAGACACTCCCACACAAAATCCTCCCCTCTGCCTGTGATACAATTACCTTACACAATGGGTAATGTAATTATAACAAGCAGAGAAATAATTTTTTTCCACATTATTCATAACTTGAAAAGTATGCATCACATTCACATAAAACTTACATTTTCAGAATGAATCAGCATACTCCAAATACAAACATATGTCAAATTCATACAAATTGGTCCAATGGTTCAAAAGATAGATCGTAGTCCTTTGTCACCAAAGGAAGCATGGCTTTTCTGCCCAAAACCAGTTCCACAGAGTCTTCTATTCTGGAGATAATTGGGAAGTAATCCAATTATCTCCAAAGACAGAAGCAAAACTCCATTGAACACATGGCAGCAAAAGACAATAAAACACATAAAAACATATAACTGTGCAGCCATTGCACAAAACAGGTACATTCAACATATCCCCAGATAGCTCAGATCTGAGCGCACATTATTACTGAATGGCGCTCAGAGAACACACATACAGTTCAATTGCCATGGAGCCAAAGTCTTTTATTACACGAATAGGCTCCATGGCATAGCTATCTGGGTTAAATGAGTTCATTCAGTAAATCTGAGAATCTACCGAACGCCAGGGCAGAAATACAGGAATAGACCTTTCTGCATAGGAAAATAAAGTATTTAAATGCTGGTCCATAGTCAAAAGGCAGCAGGCAGGCAACCAGACTCCTCCAATGCACAGTGGCGAGATTGGTCTTGTCACAGTATCCAACAGTCGTTAAGTGTTACCTGTTTAGATGACAAGTTGGTGGAACTAGAACCGGAGATATTACTCCATAGGAGTCTCTCCTTTACATCACAAGATATTGTTGTTGGTTATTTAACTGTCAAAATGCTGTATACTGTGGGCGAGTAGCTTTATAATGTGAGGATACCGCTTTTGCAGAATGGTGAAGGAGATACATTAGGTATTAGGTTATTACTACACCTGGCTCACGTTCATTTCATCTACTCTCCCTGATATTTTTATGTTGGAAGTTTGTATACAGCTCTGTAATTAAATTTTAAGAAAGACATGCTGGCCTCGATTGAGTATTTTTAGATAAACTTTTTAAATGATCACAATCTATTAGAAAAAATATTTTTAAATTATGTATTTACAAAAGTCGGCAATAGCATCTATGAGAATTTTTGTAGCTGAATCATTTGAAAGTTTTTTTCTAACAGATTGGGAAAATGTTCCTTTATTTGTAAAATATTTTTTTTCTTGTTTTTTACCTAGATGTCTGACGATATGAATAGTATTTGCAGAAACAAAATTCTTATTAAAGGGACACTATAGTCACCTGAACAACTTTAGCTTAATGAAGCAGTTTTGGTGTATAGAACATGCCCCTGCAGCCTCACTGCTCAATCCTCTGCCATTTAGGAGTTAAATCCCTTTGTTTATGAACCCTAGTCACACCTCCCTGCATGTGACTTGCACAGCCTTCCATAAACACTTCCTGTAAAGAGAGCCCTATTTAGGCTTTCTTTATTGCAAGTTCTGTTTAATTAAGATTTTCTTATCCCCTGCTATGTTAATAGCTTGCTAGACCCTGCAAGAGCCTCCTGTATGTGATTAAAGTTCAATTTAGAGATTGAGATACAATTATTTAAGGTAAATTACATCTGTTTGAAAGTGAAACCAGTTTTTTTTTCATGCAGGCTCTGTCAATCATAGCCAGGGAGGTGTGGCTAGGGCTGCATAAACAGAAACAAAGTGATTTAACTCCTAAATGACAGTGAATTGAGCAGTGAAATTGCAGGGGAATGATCTATACACTAAAACTGCTTTATTTAGCTAAAGTAATTTAGGTGACTATAGTATTCCTTTAATCAAATATCTACATAATCAAATATCTATTAAACTTGTTAAATTGTTTCCTAGGTAATTTAAGTGTAGCGGCCTGTGGAGATAAAAGGACAGTTTTTGGCACTGTGGGAGGAGACGTTGTTCTGCCAGTGAATCAGACTGGAATCAGAGACGTCAGTTGGGTTTTTGTTTTAGTATTGTATTAGTAACTCAGCATTTAGAGCTTACATGAAAAATCACTGGTGACAAACCATGAATATATATACAAAGTCTGTCTGAAAAGTATCGAGCCATGTAATATGAAAATTAGATAAGAAGATAGATACAGGAAACATTGCACATAGGAGAATGACACCTCAGTCCCTTTCAAAGTAGGAACCTTGGGACCTCACAAAGTTCTTTCAGCATCTCTTCCACTGTTCAAAATACTCGATAGTCTGAAATCTCTTCCCTTTCAAAGGTGATTTTAGTTTTGGGAAAAGCCAGACGTCACACTGCGCGAAATCTTTCAACAGATTCTCGACCATCTTTGAAGTGTTTGTGCCACTTATTGCATCATCCCCAAAAGCCTTCTGAATCATCCAAATAGTTTCCGCAGAGGAATGTTCAAGCTTAACGTAAAATTTGATGCAGAATGGTTGCTCTATTCGCTTAGTCATTTTGAATTCAGCAGCCACACAGTACACATGTCCACTCAACGGCATCTAGCACCCCCACTGACTAGCACAGTGAAGTTGTCATTGTTCATGCATACACTTTCCAGTCCACTCACCTTTGCTGCCCTGTTACATGTCGTGCAAACTGTTCTTGTAACGGACCGTTTTGCACAAAAGGGGAAAAAACCGCTTAGACGATAATCCCCCTTTTCAGAGACAGGCACAGCTACTGTAGAATCACCAAAACTCACGAACCGCCAATAAGTGAATGCTCCAAACTCCCGAACGGCATACAAGGGAATAAGGTAGCACTTCAAATAAACGAACAGGAACCATACGAATAGCTGCTAGCAGGCGAACAGGAAAAGCTTCCAAGCGGCTTACACTCCTGGCAATCAGTCCTTAGCAGCATACAGTAAATCCCCCCAAAGACGAGACAAGGCTCCGTGTTGAGGGTCAAGCAGTGGTCTGTTTAATGAGGGCTACCTGCCCAGCTTTTATGCAGGTCTCCCACCTGGTGGACACTCCCCTAGGGGACCAAATGGGAGACTGTGACAAGGGACAGACAAGTATACAAATAGGACACACAGTCACAGTATATTCCCACAATGCATCCTGGCTTCCTCCCCTCTGCCCTGGGAGATAATTGGGAAGTAACTCAATTATCTCCCAAGACAAAGGCAAAACTCCATTACACACGTGGGAACACAAAACCAGCATTATACTTTAAAATGCACAAAGTAACATTTACTACATAAAACACAGACATGTAACATATCCCCAGATAGCTCAGGTCTGAGTGCACATTATTAGGTGAATGGCACTCAGACCACACGAATACAGTTTAATCGCCATGGAGCCAAAGTCTTTACAGTCAGTTTCATACGAATGGGCTCCATGGGATTCCTATCTGGGGTATAAGACATTCACACAAAAATACCGAACACCGGGTCATTCGTGTGCTTTCACCGAACAAGAAGGGAGGTCGGCGGCTTCAGCGGTGTTCGCGCAAAACTGTGTCCGATTTTAGTTCCATGAAAATAGAGGCGAACACCGCTGTTCATTCGTATGGTTTAAAATGGCCGCGACCTCGTGTTCGGGATACGAACGGCGGCCACCCAGCGTTCATCAATTAAGCTGCGGTTAACCGCAGCTTCAGGGAGGTTAATTGCCGGCACACTCCAGCTCCCAGGTGGTCCAGTCATTCGTACGGTTGTTCGGTAGTTTGAAACTACCGAACAACCGGCAGAAAAGCATGAATATGGCTTTTCTGCATGGAAAAATAAAGTCTTTCAAAAGGGGGCCATAGTCCAAAGGCAGCAGGCGAGCAACCAGGCTTCTCCAATGCAATGTGGCGAGATTGGTCTCGTCACAGTTCTCATTATATAAACAAAGGCTGGACTTTTTCTGGAGAGACCTCGTATTTAAGGCACTATGTGCTTCTGCCATTGAAGAGACTGAAGTAACAGAGACTGAAAATGAGACAAGAGAAATGGAATGGCGGAGAGTTATCTTATCTGATACTATGTACCTAGAGCCTCACTATTTCCATAGGTAACAGAAGAGCATTTCAAAGCTCAGCAGGAAAATAAAATACTGATTTACCCAAAGTCTGTAATATTATTATATGAGCATTATCTGTATCTGTTTCAGAAAGATTGACATCTAAAGATATTGAGATTCTCCCCAATGTAACCAGAAATGGAACCTGTGTAGTCATTTTATTGTGTAAGGTAAATGGTTCTGATGTGAATATCACCTGGAGCAGCTCAGACAGCACTGAAATAAATGCGATTAATGGATTACTTCATGTAACAGATACAAATAACATCTTCACGTGTACTGTGCTGAACCCAGTCAGTACCATCTCGAGAACCGTGAATCCACAGAGATACTGCCAGGAAAGTAAACTTGGCTGATATTTGCCTGAATCATTATTCACCAGCTCTTTATACACGTGAATCGTTATCTCATTTAGTTTGCAAGCTTTGTCAATCTGTTTCACTACTATATCAGAGTGCTTTACAGCTATAGCTGGGTTCCAGAACTTGTGGGAATTTAATATTTAAAGAAACACTGTAAGCAGCATAACCAGTACCAAGCTGTATAGTGGTTATGGTGTCAGGAGTGCCCTGGTTTACGGGAGTCAAACTGGGTCATAATGGTTCGATTTCATACCTTGCACACTGCCACCTTTGCCTCCTTGTTACGAGCTTCTATTAGCGCTCATGAGCTAAACTGCAGTGCAGGGAGCGGTGGCCCATGGACCCCAGATAAGAAGTTACACATTTTAAAATGGTTCGACTCTTTACAATGGGGGTGCCAGGACATTCCTGGTGTCAAATCCAGTACAGTACGCTGTAGTTGTTATGGTGCTTGGAGTGGTCCTTTAATATATAATATGTGTAATGGAATGTTAGATTTAATCATGATCATATTTACACAATCTGCTGATGGAAATACAAAGCCACGATGTAACTAGTTGTTTGCTGTAGATTATTGAGAGACAGGCCAGTCAAAGCATCTCAGTTGACATCGGGGCTATCATAGGGTTTAGTAAGGTGTCTATTCCTGATAAATTTCTTAAACAAAAATAATCTATTTTTCCTATTATTAATATATTTAATTGCTGCAGGTAAATTATGTGCTAGGAGTCAGAATCATCTACTAATGGAAAATACAAATGTAAAACACCTAAAATATCTAAAAATATTAAAGGGACACTAAAGTCACCAAAACAACTTTAAACAACTTTAGCTCAATGAAGCAGTTTTGATGTATAGATCATGCCCCTGCAGTCTCACTTCTTAATTATCTGCCATTTAGGAGTTAAATCACTTTGTCTGTGTGGGCTGCACACCTTCTTGCATGTGACTTACACAGCCTTCCTAAACACTTCCTGTAGGCAGGGTTGTCAAACATGCGGCCCCCCCAGATGTTGCTGAACTACAACTCCCATGATTCTTTCAATGAAACAGATAGCCAGGGAATCATGGGAGTTGTAGTTCAGCAACATCTGGGGGGCCGCATGTTTGACAACCCTGCGTGTAGTGAGTCATCTAATATTTACACTTCATTAACTGCAAGTTCAGTTTAATTTAGAATGTTGTATCTCTTGTTCTGTAAACTGCTTGATGCCTGCAGGGGCATCAGGGAATTAACGTTCAATTTACAGAACAGGAGATAAAAACGTCTAAAGTAAGTTAACATCTGATTGAAAATGAACCCATTTTGTTTTCTTGCAGATGGTGCCAGTCATAGCCAGGGGAGGTGTAGCTAGGGCTGCATAAAGAGAAACAGAAGTGAATTAACTTTAGAAGCATAATCTATACACAAAAACAGCTTCAATAAACTAAAGTTGTTTTGGTGACTCTAGTATCCCTTTGAAGTTGAGCTCTCTGGTCATCACAGAAAACGTCGGAGAAAGCATATGGCTTTTGTTCCTTTTAATACAAATATTGTTTATGATTTATTTATGATTAAATAACATTCTTATAATTCTTGTTTCAGAAATGCTGCCTACATCCGTAAATCTACTGCTGAATGGTGTTTGTATTGCTAAAGCTTTAGCGGTTGTTATTGTGGGACTTTTCATAACCATGAATTTACTGCTAACCAGAAATACAGGTATGTATTATCTCTATAGTTGGATGCGTTGGATCATTGATGATCTGCATCATCTGCTTGATTGTGTTTACAATGACTGTCAACAAAAAACAAATAGGAAAAATTCTCTAAGTTAGCTATGCATCCAGTTAAGCCTTAGCTTTGAACTTTCAATTCACTTTGAAATATCACATGAAATTAAAAGAGGTTGTGAGTGGTTTGAGTGAGGGAATACCAAGATGAAGTCTAGCTGGAGTTCCAAGATGGCTGCTGTACATTGAATTGATGCATTGATGTTCCCAGATCGACTGCTTTGACCTTAAATGACCACTCTAGGCACCCAGACCACTTCAGCTTAATGAAGTGGTCTGGGTGCCTGGTCCAGCTAGGGTTAACCCATTTTTTTATAAGCAGTTTATGAATGGGTTAAGCCTTCCCCCTAATCCTCTAGTGGCTGTCTCATTGAAAGCCACTAGAGGCGCTTGCGTGCTTCTCACTGTGATTTTCCATAGGGACGACGGGCTGAATACGTGCGCAGCTCTTGCCGCGCGTGCACATTCAGCCCAGGAGGAGGAACGGAGGAGGAGAGAAGGAGGAGAGCTCTCTGCCCAGCGCTGGAAAAAGGTAAGTTTTTCCTCATTTCCCCCTTCCAGAGCCGGGCGGGAGGGGGTCCCTGAGGGTGGGGGGGGTCCCTGAGGGTGGGGGCACCCTCAGGGCACTATAGTGCCAGAAAAACGAGTATGTTTTCCTGGCACTATAGTGGTCCTTTAACTTACAAATTTACTTTAAATTCACTTTGAATTCCCTGAATTTCTCATTTTAACGAGTAACCCTGTAAGTGTTTGCAGTTTCGGTAGCATAAATTTCTAAAAAATTTCTAAAAAGTACATACAATAGGTGGAACACACGTCTGATGATTCAATAAAGAAAAATAAAATAACACAGTGCAATATTGTCAATATAAATAACGTAGAGATATTGTAGATATCAAGTACTCAGAAGCCTAGAGCCAAATTATAGCATATGGCTCTCATGGGTTGCGCACAGGGACTCTGAATAGGATGTCCCAATTCTTCTTTCAGTGGGTCTGTGTGTAGTCTTTAACGCTTCTTGGATAAAGATGAGATGTAAAACTTCTCTCCTATAAAAAAAGCTTTATTTTATAGAATACAATAAACAAAGTGCACTACATGCAATAAAATACAATATTTCATTGTTTGGTATAAAAAAGTTAAAACACGTCTCAATAGTCCAATATTGTCACTTCCTGGTGGCTGGTTGGTAGTTGGTAAATTTCTAAAAGTGGAGATGATAGAACACCTCTAGCAGCACAGGGGTTAAACTCTGCATGCGCAGTGTCTCATAGTAAAATGCTGCCCATACAGACTCCAAGTGCCATGACCACTTCAAATCACTGAAGTGGTCATGGTTGTTGGAGTAACCTTTTAAGTCTAATGTTTGTGTTTGTTTTTGACATAAACATTAAGCGATGTCTTGTTGGAGATGTACATTTTAAAAGCTTTTTTATGTGTCTGGATTTTCTTAGCTTTGTTACTTATGCCATATTATCTGTTTTCATATAGAATGACTGGCCAGAGAGGATACTGTGATGTCATTTCAAGATCTCCAAGATGTCAACTCAAAGTCTGTTACAAAACATTGCTCAAAAACAGAAGACTATATTATGTTATAATCCTATAGACAAGGATACACTCAGGAACAGACTGACCAGTCGGCCACTTGGTCATGGACAAATGTCAGACACCAGATGGAGGCTCGGTGGCTTACCAAGTTTGTAGTTGGGTGCTGGGCCTGCCATGCAGTCTGCTCCAAACTACCGTGAAGACAGTGTTCACTTCTGCCATGGCTAGTGATCCACAAGGCAGTGGCCTTCTTAAGCAGCTGCATGTGTGCAGCCATGCATGTGTACAGCTGCGTAGCTATCTCTACCTGCTGTCCAAGCAGGCCTGGCAGGCTTGGAAGCGTCCCACTAGGTAGGGGTGGTGAGGTGAGTTGGACTTGGGTAAGAGGGAGAGGCATGAGGTGGAGTTATCTGGGAGGGCACAATATGAAGAAAGTTGGACGAGGTGAGGGGCATGAGGTGAGAGAAAATGGGCAAGGTTGGGTCACAAAGTTGGGGCATGAGGTGAGGGGGATTGGGTGAGGGGAGAGAACAAGACAAGATGGATTTGGGGAGTACTAGGTGAGAGGATTTGCGTAGTTGCAGAAGGTGGGGGCATAAGAAGAAAGGTACAAGTGGGGGGTCACAAGATAAGAGAGATTGGGTGAAGTTTGTGGAACAAGGTGACTTAAATTAGGTGAGGTGGGAGACACAAGGTGGGGGGGTGGATGTGGAGGGCACAAGGTGAGTGGATTTGGGTGGGTGCCTGGGTGCACAAGGCGAGAGCCTCAAGTGCCGCATGAGGGGGCACTAGAGGAGTGGTGCAAGTGATGATGCAAAAGGAAAGGAACAAGTTGGGTAACACAGTACAGGAATTAATTGGAACAATAATGAAATTAGCAGAAATCAGCATGGTTTTATAAAACATAGATCATGTCAAACTAACTTAATTGCATTTTATACAGAAGTAAGTAGAAGTATAGATCAGGGTGTTGCAGTGGATGTGATCTACTTGGAATTTGCAAAGGCATTTGATACAGTTCCACACAATAGGTTAGTGTTCAAACTAAAAGAAATTGGTTTAGATGAAGATAGAGTTGTCATTAATGGTACATTTTTCAGTTGGATGTGATAAGTTGTGTCCCTCAGGAGTCTGTTCTGGGACCACTTTTATTTAATCTATTTATAAGCAATCCTGATATAGGAATTGAAAGCCATGAGTCAGTGCATGTGGACACTTTGTTTACATATTTTGACATGTGCACAGACACAATGCAATTTGCAAGCACTTATTAATATAGATAAATCGGGACAGTTGTTCCCTTTAGTAATATGACAGCTTTGTCACTGGTTGCGTATATTGCGCATTTGAGAACACATTTTTGTTTGTGGAGCACAGTTGTAGCAAGTGTACTTCATTTATGGAGTAATTGCATCAAACACTGCTCTTTTAGACACTGTTATATCCTTTTTTGGTATTTTAACAACATCAGTGTTTATTTATCTAACGAGATCGAACATGATTACATCACGCCAGGTCTCGTCTAGGATTGTCCACAGATGGCCATCAGCTGCTAAGAGGGATATACTGTATAGTAACAGCCAGGTAAGGAGTGATGCATGTTTTCCCTTGACAAAGGCAGCTGAGCATGCTGAAACTTTGGGGGTAGTTTTGTGACTTGTGTCTTGCTCGGGTAGGCTATCAGCAGTTCCTATGGCCAGTAAGATGTTGTAATGTATCAAAAGGGGCATTATTTCTAAGGATGAAAATATAATTTTTCCTCCTTATAAATCAATGGTATGTCCACACCATAATTATGCCATGCAATTTTGGGCAACTGTAATAACGAATGATATTATGATATTATAGCACTAGAAAAAGGAGATGGGCCACACAATTAATGAGGAATGGCTTACAAGTTTAAATCTGTTTAATTTAGTAAAACAGCACCTCAGTGAGATATGATAACATTATACAAATATATTTGGGTCCAGAAATCTATTCATAAACAGGACCATACATTGGACACAAGGTCACCCATTTAGACTGGAAAAAGGGAGATTTAGCCTAGGGCACAGGAAATAGTGTTTTACAGTAAGAACATGAGAAATTCAGTTACACCAAAAATAACACTTTTTTGTATCAGTGCTGATTGAAGATATAAATCCAATTTCACCCTATAAGAGAAACAAAGTGTATATAGTCTAAACCTGGCAAATATATGGTATAGATGTCAAGAATAATCATTTGATATGTATTGAACAGGTTACTACTACAACAAAGTTACATTAGATTTATATCCAGTATTCTACTCTGATTTCCATATTCTTTTTTGGCTAACATATGTACAGTATATATTAAGTGTATATATCACTACCATATTGTATTTTTTGTTAGGCAATCCTTCTTTCTTATAGTGCTACAACAGCAACCTGCTAAAATCATATTAAACTTACGTTCTTTTATGAAGGGTTAAAATATCTACTGTAATCACATATTTGTGTTGAAATGTCAGTTTCCCCTTTTTTATCTCCCTTCTATGTTGGTACATCTAACAACCACAACGACAGTGTTCCTGACCAGTTATATCCTAATCTTATTATGCCACTTCTTGTAAAATGTAACAATATTTATATATATATATATATATATATATATATATATATATTTTAAGACCACCTCCTTTTATCATATTTATACTACACATGAATACACAATTAACCTGAGTAATTCTTAAAGGATCACTATATGGTCAGGAACACAAACATGTATTACTGACACTATAGTGAAAACCCACCATTTAGGTGGCTTGCCCTCCCTTAACCCCTCAGAATGGGTTAAAACTCCCCTTATAATCACCATATTATTATTTCCCATAGGAAAAGCATTGGGTTTGCTAAAATCAGCAAATGTGCGGGGCCAAATGCTGTTTTGGCCAATCAGCACCTCCTCATAGAGATGAATTGAATCTGAATGGCAGAGCTGCTTACTGTGCAGCCCTGAGCCAGGAAGCCCCTGCAGTGGCCATCTAAGGAATAGCCACTTGGAGGTGTCCCTAGGGACAATGTAAACAATGCCTTTTCCCTGAAAAGACAGTGTTTGCATGAAAATGCCTGAAGGGAGCTATTATACTCACCAGAACAACTACATTAAGCTATAGTTGTTCTGGTGACTACAGTATAGTTTCCCTTTAAACATACAGTCGCTTGCGTGTCAATCTTACTTTCCGAGATCGTATCCTCCTATTTAGTCCCAGTGTCCTCTGGTGAAGCTGCAAACCTGACAAGTGCCTGGGTTCAAGAATCAAGTCTTCACACACACACAACATATATATATATATATATATATATATATATATATTTATATACAAACTTGATTGCCTCTTTTTGATTAAATATTTTACACTAAACTAATATGAGTACATTACATAGAGCTAATATGTAATCTACTAACATGTAATATAGGAAGATTATATAGAGCTTCTATTTATTAATCGTGATATTACCACTAAAACAAATGTTTGTTAATGTTTAAATGCCAGCGTTGCGATGACAATATTGCTATATATGTTATAGACTCTTTGACATATTATCGTGCTAAATTATTTTAATAATCTGATTTGTGTTATAAAGTAGTCTTAATAATATACAGTTTTATTCATGGACACTTAATTGATCATTGTGAAAAAGACACAAAGTCTCCTGTACAAACACTGCATCAGAGTAAAGGACTGCCTATTTATAAAAGAGACATGTTTGATAAAGCCTAAAGAGTGAAATGTGTCAGTGCTTTTTTACATTACCTGGTTTTTGTTTGAAATAAAAGTGTTCCAGACCTACTAAGTGGTGACTTACTGATCCTGGATTACAGTACTTCTATCCCCCCGCCACCCTCCTCCCATACGTCTACCGTCCCCTTCCCATACGTTCCCCTCACACACATGCAAACAGATACACATGCAGGTACACACATACAGGCACACACACACACACACATATATATACAAACACACATACACACACACATAGAGACAAATACATACAGACACATAGACAGACATACACACATACATTCAGACACACACACACAGACATATATACATACAGACATATGTACATACAAAAACACATACAAACACAGACACATACATTCAGACACACATACGTACAGACACACACACACACACACACAGATATACAGCAAGAGAAAACAAAAAAGAATTTTAATACTTATCAGATTAAACAGAAAAAAACAGCTTCCCACTGAACACCTCAAAAGTAGTGTTACGTCTGAACAAGCCAAGAAATACAATATCGTCCACCAGGGCACTTCCTCAGAGACCAGTATACAATAAAAGACAATGATATTATCAGTAATGCTCCCAAAAGAAGCAGCCTAATTCCACCCTCCCATCAGTCCCCTTAAACAGGGCTAATCCCTTCAGTTCATTGGTGGTTCCAATGGGTGTTTTCCTTTTTCATTCCCTCATTGGTGATTCTTGGATCCTCTTCATCTGTTGTTCATTCGAACATAATTGAAGTTATAATTCCAGCTGATCGATATTTTGAGAATGGCGAAACCAGAAGTTACGTATCGCAACCACTTCTGTGCGTTCCAATTTGCGTTCCAACTTGCGTTCCACTTGATATCTCGAATGGATCATTCTCCCCCTGGTGTACTGTAGGGGAATTGGCTTTAAAAAACACTAGGGGAAATAACAATAAGTTAGCTGGAAGATATTATATCAATAAAGAACAACTTTAGATCTTATAAATAGAGCACAGATGAATGTACAAATGCTATAAAGATTACATAACTAATGTTATAATATGCACATTAATATCTCTGTGGTGCATCACTGAACTTATAATATAGGCCATCTAATTTTATATTGTTGATTCTATAATACATTCTTGTTATTTCTTTTCAGCTTATCTTACAAGCAATATGTTTAAGTGTTGAATCTTTAGATTATGCTACAAATTAATTCTATTTTTAAACAAACATATACAATTAGATATAAAATATGTGTAATACATATAGCCACATATATCCATTTATTTTCCCATTCTCCATAATTTTAATCTCTTTCAAAGATTCTTTAGACCAGTATATTTATTTCATTATCTTGATGAGATTTCATATTAATCAAAATCTCTATATATATTCCCTAAAAATTATTCATGATGTATTTAGAATAACATAGGTAAAAAATATGAACAATTAAAAGAAAATAAACATAAAAATACAAACACCAAAAGGATATTCTTCACATTAAATAAATAAATAAATTACCAGGAGGTCATATCAAGCAACATTTATACCTGTCATTTATAAGAAGCAAACTAAGTCGATATCAACATTCAGTCCTTGTGGTTCTAAAGTGTGCAACTTATGGATCCAAAAGGTCTCTCTTTGGGATAAAATTCTGGACCCTATTTCCTCCTCTCCAATGGGGTAAGACCCTCTCAATTCCAATAAATTTTTACGTTTTTAAAGGAGAAAAGGGGACATGAGTTGCAATGTAAGGGGACTGAATGTGACAAAATACCTTTTTTAATATTATTTATATGCTAAAAAACCCGGATTTTTAGATTCCTCTTGGTACGACCGACATATTGTTTGCTGCACGGACACTGCAGTAAGTAAACCACAAAATCCGTGTGGCACCCAATCTCCGTCTTGATACAAAAAGACTTTCCAGTAACAGAACTACAAAAAGTCTTAGTTCTAAAAAGATTAACCGTTAAACAGGCTCTGCAACTGTTGCATCCCCTAAATCCTTTTGCTGTCTCTATCTCCCTGCTAGTTCTACATTTTAAAGCATAACTGGGGGCAAGTACATTTTTTAAATTCCGATTTTTTTCTACATATTAAAGTAGGATGTTTTGGTAGAGAACTTTCCAATATTGGGTCTTCAAGTAACACAGGCCAATATTTTTGTAGACTTTTTTTAATACGTTGATGGTTTACATTATATTGTGTCATGAATGCATATTTGAAAGATTCACTAGAATCCTCTATTTTTGGTTTGTCCATTAACAACTTGCTTCTTTCCATCTTCTTTATAACTCTGATTTCTTTTTCCAGACTATTTTAGTAATATCCATAATATATCAAATTTTTCATAATGTATATTAATTGGGAATAAAAATAATGGGGGTAAGAGCAATTGCGTTTCACACTCATAAATTGGCTTTTGGCTATGCCGTTTAGCCACATCCTATGATGGCAACTTTTTTTATGAACATACCCATTACCGTCAATGAGTTTAACCCCTTAAGGACCAAACTTCTGGAATAAAAGGGAATCGTGACATGTGTCCTTAAGGGGTTAAAAAAGCATTTTGATTCGATGTGATCATCCTTACACATCAATGTCACATCTAAAAAATGTATAGTGGTTTTGTTCCAAACTGGTGTAAACTTTAAGTAGTATTGGTTATCAATAAGATATCCCACAAATTCCTGAAAACAAAAAGAAGACCCCTTCCAAATATTAATAATGTCATCGATGTATCTCCGCCAGAGCACCAGGATCTCCCTCCAGCCATGACCACACCATACGAAAAGATCTTGCCATCTTCTCATGTATGTGTTGGCAAAGCTTGGGGCGAACCTGGTGCCCATAGTGGTCCCCGTGATCTGTAAATAATATTTTTCATTAAAGAAAAAATAATTATGCGCTAAAATAAATTGAACTGATGTCACTACAAAATTTCTTAATTGTTTTAACAGATTTTTATGGGTTTTGGGTAAAAAAATAAAAGATGGGAATTGTAGGAGTGAGTTGCAATAGATAGTCAAAATTTTATTGAGTAATTATATTTTCTGATTTGGCCTGTCTTAACAGCTGTTCCAATTGATATTTTGAGCCTCCTGTAAATAATATTCAGTGGACATGACCACTATACCTCCCCTCCCCCCCACCCCTTGTCAGCTTCCTTAATAATGATGTCCCTTCTTTTCATAAGGTTATTGAGACATGATTCCTCTCTTTTTGTTAAATTTTTTACAAAATTGTTTTATGATTATTGAACAAAGATCTGAATTCTTTATCCACCATCTGTTCAAAAACTGCTAAATGAGGACCGTTGCTTTGTATCGGAAAGAAAAGTGATTTAGGTTTAAAATGTTTCATTTCGCGATCTTCACTTTCTATATCTTTTGAACCAGAGGGATGCATAAGGAAATGTTGTCTGATAGTCATAGACCTGATATATTTTTTCAGGTCTATGTAAAGATCAAAGACGTTTCCTTGGTGATTAGGGGCAAATTTCATGCCTTTTTCTAGTACTGAGATTTCTTCACCTGACAATGGGATACCTGACATATTAAATATACCTTTATCTGTGCCATTAACAATTAGATTTTCTTGAGTTAATCTTTTATTCTTTAATCTTCCAATCTGATTCTCTTTTGTGGGGTATCTGTTTGAAGTGTGGAATATCGGTTGGGTTGTTCCCATGTTTCTCCCCGGGGTTTGAAATAATTGGTGATTATTTTTTCTTTGGGTACTCTGTCCCTCTCTTGAAAATGTTCCTCCCTTTCTTGATAATGG